TTACCGATTCCATCTCAACTAGTTTAGTCGTTCCAAACGCCTTGTTCACATGCATATCTATGGATGCGATTATACTTTCAATTCAAAAAACGATTTCATCTCAGTAGTTATGACCAATTACTTAAATCGATTCGTTATCCCATCAGAAATTCAGTCTGAGTTGAATTCCGTCTTTCTCTAATCGGCATTAACCAGTACAGACTCTTTTTCGTCCCTCTTTCGAGTGATCACTGTTAAGCTAAACCCAACTCAATCAATCTAATGCATTCAGAACTGAAATTTTTTCTATATTTTACATTCTACATGAGCACATTGAGTCAAATACGCATCACAATGTCCTCAAGTCTCTGTCACTGTTAGTCTATCCAATATCTATTATGCATGTGTCTCAGTTTGAATTTCTTTCTTCCTAAATTGTTTGCTGCGCTTATTCGGAATCGCTTCAAAATGTCAGTCTAGCTTTTTTATATCCTCTTATAACTTCAGTTCTTGAAAGCTGCAATTCAAAAGGTTACGAGATAAGGTGTTCAACGGATAAAGATTGTTGATTTATCTACCGAACTCGCATCGTTCATTGCTTGCATAAGTATCTACATTCGCGATCAAAATGGTTATAATCAGAGAATCGGCGACACCGAATAACAATGATTTTATCGGTGAATTACGTTCAGATTTGTTATCGTTTTCATGAAAATTCCTCAATTTTCCTCCAATGAACCATTCCATCCGCCAAATCAAGTGTTTTTGTGCATCATCAAATTTCATTCATTTATCGTTCATATCAGTCAACTCGCGGCAGAATTTATGACAGCCAACGGAATTGAACTTGCGACTTGTTATATATTGAAATCGTACATGAACCATTCATTACGAGCATAGAGATAAATTTAAGGTTTACCTCATGCCAAACTTCATTTATCTCTAGCCCTAACCTCAAACCAACTTTGAAACAGTTGATTTCAGAGTTTGAGGGTTCCCAAACCGCAAATGTTACTGAAGATCCTGTCTGGACTCCGGCACCGTCCTCGTCATTCGAGTGTCCGCTTGAGCCACCAACCGTCGAACTGGCAAATGGGATTCGTATGCCTTTACTGGGCTTAGGTAAGCCCTGAATCTGCAATATTGATGAGAAGAAAAACCTCTGTTCAGAGGATATTGATCGCATCTAAAATTGATGCATGAACTAGTTAGAAATCATCATCATAAGTTATTCTGTTCCGCATATTGATCCAATCCAGTCATGTTCATGATTTGCTGATACAATCCGCTTTCCGAAATTTTATTCTACACCGTTTAAACGGCGTCCGATTTGTGTGCATTCACTCATTTGAAGCCTCAAATTGAATCCNGCGAAAATTCTCATCGAGACGTAAGGTTCTTACGTATCGTTTTCGATTGCTATCTTATGTATGCTCTCATATAGTACTGAAATTCAAAGATTCAAATTGGTTACCCTAACTGTGTGTTACTCTGAGTTTTTCGCTTTGCTGACCTTCCAAATCCGTTCCTTGGAACCGTTTGCCCGGAAAAATTGTGCAATTTTTCAGGTACCACACATTCTGGAGGCTATTATCATAACTCCGTAATCTATGCCTTGCGAGAGTGCAACTATCGTATGATCGATACAGCGAAACGTTATGGTGTTGAGAGGGAACTTGGTTTGGCTATCAAGGTTTGTTATCTCATTCTGGAAACTTTTTAAATGTTATTTCGGATCTTCGTTTGAATCTGTTGGACCAGCGTCCGTGACAAATACAATTTCAGGCTTCCGGAATACCTCGTCGATCGTTGTTTTTGACCACAAAATTGTGGCCTGTGGATTTTGGAGAGTTCACGAGGCAAGCATGCAAAGAATCGTGTGCTCGACTTGGTGTCGACTATCTTGGTAGGTAATCA